GCAATTATGAGCCATTCTCCACAAAACCACCTTCATCTTGTTCGGACATTGAATTGACCATAATTTCCTCCAAGCTTTTTCCGTGGCCTTTTGGTTTGACGTCGCACCTTTGACCTCTTTACTTCTATCTTTCCAATATATTTTTGATCTGGCCAGATTATATGCAGATCTCACCGAGTATGTTCCACTCTTAGTGTGAGGCCAAGATGGAAAATCAGTACAGCCACCGGAGCTTATTGGGATACTAAGAATCCTCCCAGCAATCTCTTCGGGAAAGAGGAATCTTACCATGTCTTCATTCCAGCATAGTTCATTCTCTTTCATTAGGGAATTAACCATTTGATTCTCATCTAATGAGGAGATTGTAGAGATTATACTAGATGGCAAGTCTGGGATCCAATTGTCTCGAACCATGTTTATGCTTTTGCCATCTCCTACTCTCCAAAGAAGGCCTTGTTGTAGCAGTTTCTTGCCATGCATGATACTGCGCCATGTATAAGAAGATGATCTTGGGCATTGCGCACTCCAGAAATCCCCATCAGGGAAGTAGCGTCCCTTCAACACTCGGGCACACAATGAATTAGGCTCAGTCAGAAGTCTCCAGCACTGTTTCCCGAGCATAGCTTGGTTAAAGATCGCCATATCGCGGAAGCCCATACCACCAAGATTTTTGGTGCAGACAACCACTCCCATGATCTCCAATGAAGCTTCTTCTTTCCATTTTCAAATCCCCACCAGAAGTTGGATATGGGCTTTCTCATTTTGTCACACACTGTAATGGGGATCTGAAAGCAGCTCATAACATAAGTGGGAATCGCCTGAGCTACAGCTTTCAAGAGGACTTCCTTCCCTGCCCTTGATATAGGCCGATCGCTCCATCCATTTAGATGTTTCCAAAGCCGGCCGGTGAGAAAGTTGAAGCTATTCGGAACGTCCCACCAAGGTCGGCATACCAAGGTAAGTAGCATGCATTGTATCATCTTGTACCCCCAATATAATGTTTTATTCTCTCTTTTACTAGTTCTTCACAGTGTGGGCCAAAGAATAAGGATGATTTCTGTAAATTGATCTTCTGCCCGGAGCCCTCACAATAGGTTTGTAACGCTGATTTAAGAGCATTAAGACTTCTGTCATCTCCCCTAGTGAAGAAAATGCTGTCATCAGCAAATAAGAGATGTGAAATGGATGGCCCCTTCGTACCATTACAAATGCCTTTCAGCTCCCCTGCTTCTTCCCTTTTCTGCAAAAGGCAAGAAATGCCTTCAACACACAACAAAAATAAATACGGGCTGATAGGATCCCCTTGTCGGATACCTCTAGTTGGGATAAAAGAGTCTGTTAACTCGCCATTAACTTTAACAGCATATTTGACAGAAGTAACACACCTCATGATCATCTCAACCCAATTAGAATTGAAACCCATCTTTAATAATACACCCTTGAGATAGTTCCACTCTACCCTATCATAAGCCTTTGTCATGTCAATTTTTAATGCAAAGAAAGGGCATTTGGACCTTTGTTTTCTTATCATGTGGAGGCATTCGAAAGCTATAAGAACATTATCAGTTATTAACCTCCCGGGCACAAAGGCACTTTGTTGTTCAGAAATTATTTCCGGCAAATAAAGCTTTAATCTATTGGCTATAACTTTAGAGGCAAGATTATAAATGACGTTGCACACGCTTATTGGACGGAAATCACTAAGCATATCAGCATGATTGGATTTAGGGATCAGAACAATTACCGAATCACAGAAACCTTCCGGGATGTCACGGCCCATAAGAGATTCCTTTACAGCAGCACATATGTCCTCTTCCAATAGATCCTAGTGTTTTTGATAAAAAGCGCCGGGAAACCATCTGGTCCTGGGGCCTTGGTCGGTCCCATTTGGAACAGCGCAGACCTGATCTCATCATTTGAGTACTCTCGACAGAGAGCTTCATTCATTTCCTCACTAACCTTTGTTGGTATGGCTTCCAGCACCTCGTCCATTGTATCAGTGGGTTCAAATGTAAAGAGTGTGGAATAAAAATCATATACCATTCCTCTGATTCCCCCTGGATCCTCACACATAGATCCATCAACTTTCCGAAGACCTTTTATTTTGTTATTCCTTCTCCTTGCAGAAGCTCGGGCATAGAAAAATGAAGTGTTACGGTCGCCCTCTCTGAGCCATTCTACTCTTGACCGTTGTGTAGCCATGATCTCTTCTCTCTCAAATAGTTCACACAATCTCTTTTCTATTTCCCTCTCTTCATATGGATTGTTGTTGAAAGCATTGTTCTTTCGAATAACGGTTAGTCTTTTTTCTAGTTTTCTGATCTCCTTTTTAACCGAGCCGAAAGACTCTCTACTCCACTTCTGTAGGCTGTTAGATAATTTACTCAGAGTAGACCAAGTATTATGAAGGGACGGATAGCGTCCTTTATGTGTCTTCCAGTTGTCCTCAATCATTTGGTCATAATCAGGAGCTCTCATCCACGCTGCTTCAAACTTGAAAGTCTGTTGGACTGGGATGGTGAGTTCCTTGCCTTCACTTTTTGCTATTTTCACCAATATTGCATAATGGTCTGAAGAGGTGGTGATAATGTTCTCAACAGTGCAGTCGTCAAAAATCTGCATGAAGTCCCCATTTGCGACAGCCCTATCCAATCTCACTCTGACATTGTGTCCACCTTCTTGTCTATTAGACCATGTAAATTTTAGACCAAAGTATCCCAAATCTATGAGGCCGCAATGGTCAAGGCACTCCCGGAATAACATCATCTGGTTATCATCTCTGTTCCTTATCCCCATGTGCTCATTTGTACTTAAAGTTTCGTTGAAATCACCAACACAGATCCATGGTCCTGACCAAGTTGTTTTCAAGAACCGGAGCCTATCCCAGAAAATATGTCTTAGTTCTCTTTTCGGCTCCCCATACACAAAGGTAGTTCTCCATTCTAAACCATCATCTGATTTGATCATGATGTCAATAATTTTTGTGGACTAGGCTTTCAAGGAGACTGAAAGAGAGGAGTCCCAAAAGAGAACAAGCCCTCCGCTCAAGCCGAGTAAATTGCTGAAAGCCACCACATTTGTGGCAAGGATACTGCAAAACCACCATCTTTGCCAAAAATCACGAGAAACCACCACTTCCGTGGCAAGTGAGTAACAAAATGCACTAAACGTGCTATGAGCCGCGTCTAACTGGAAAACTGACTGACGGGACCCGTCTGTCGGGCTGATTTGGCATGCCTACATGGATAGTATGATGAGGTGGAAGATGGTCCCACTAGTCAGCCTCTTATCTCTTTTCACTTTCTTCTTCTTCTTCTTTCATAGTCAACGCCATGCCCGCCGGCTCTGGTCTGCGGCGCACCTGATCTGCCGCATGGCCGACTTCCCCCACGCGGCCGCGCCGTCCCCTGCAGCTCCCTCCGGCGCCGCCTCCCCTCCACGCACCAGCCCCGACCCTGCTTCCCCCACGCGGCCGCGCCGCCTCCCCTCCACCCACCAGCCCCGACCATGCTTCCCCCATGCGGCAGCGCCACAACCGCGCCGCCCCCCCTGCATCTACCTCCGACGCAAGAGGATGAAGTGGCCGCGGCAAAGCAGACCACGACGAGCCCCTCCTCCGCC